TGGATAGGGGTCTTAAATAAAGTATTAGTTTTTAGAAATTGGATTATCAGGAAAAACATATTGGCGAAGAGAATTCCAAAATCTACAAACTCTACATATGAAGAAGACGTTTAAAGCTAATGCAGTTTTTCCTAGTATACCTACATTAATTTACAAACAAATTAATTCACCAAAATTGTTATTTGAGAAAATTTGAGTATATTTTAGGCATTTTTCAAAATCCACCATCTTGAAGGTAGTCGAACGTTATTATGAATGACATAAAACAAACATTAGTTAATTTTATATTCTTTTTTACTGGAATTTAAATTTTGGCGAAGGAATAAAATTCACCCAAATTACAAATTATGTTTCTAAAACTCAATTTGTAAAAAAATAAGGACTATTTCTTTGAATTAAAATTGAATTATATTAAATATAATAATTATAATTCATATATTGCGACACCCAGCGGCAAGTTTAAAACTTAAAATCATTCTGTTTTCTTTTCTTAAAAAAATAATAATCAGAAGAGATTGTGGCTATGTACACGTAGCTAGTTTCAACAATTAAAAACTTGGTATTTCGTACACATTTTTATTTACCTAAGCGATAATCAATGCTCTTGAGGAGGCAGGAATCTCTCAGGAATCTTATTAGATATATGTAAGAACTATTTAAACTCGCAGAAACAAGTGGTAAAAATAGGTACTTAACAATATAAGTAACGAAGCAATCATTATATGAAGGGTAAGGGGAAAAACCGACGATGTTCATTTTCTAGGAATTTTTAAGTAATGAACTTGTTATGTTGGAAATACATAGTCCCAAACACAGGCTAATTTGTAAACGAATAAAACAAACAAGGTCTGAATAAAATACAACGATTTGCAAGTACAAAAATGATTTTGTCACCCAAATACTAACGAATTTTATGAAACATAGTTATACAGGTGAACATCTCTATTTTAGGTTAGTTTTAAAATGGAAATAATTCCCTTTTAGCAAGTTATATGTCACTTTTATTTTTTTTTAACATAAAAATATTAACGTACAGTTTTATTTATTTCTATGACTTTTACATAAGATTTGGTAATAATATTAATTATAAAGTCAATTTTCTCAGTAAGTCAGTTTTGTAACATCGTCTGTTTTCCCCTTACCTTTCATATATGGTGTTCCACAGGGTACAATATTAGGACCAATATTATCCAACTTATATGTTAACGGCTTGTTCATCTTTAAACAACAGGAGAAATAATAGGCTACGCAGATGATAATACATATTAGGTTGGAGTGAAAAAGGGCCAATTTTTTTTTCAGATTTGAAATTGTTATTAAAAGTTGCTTGGTTTCATTGTTATTTAAGAAGTTTATGCAATATAAGAAAACAAATTCTTGGGGGTTCGAAATGCTTTAAATTTTTTTTTTAATTATTTGTTGCCATTTATAAATAAGAATTAATAGTTTGTGCAACAAGAGTGGTTATGATGACCATTTCGCACGAAGACGAATCATCAGAATGTGATACGGATAAGCCACTCGAGTTGTACAGTATATTTTTCTACGACCTTCTAACGAAAATCTACAAATTTTAAAAAATTATTTTAGGTTATTTAGACAAAATAACTAATTTTAAAATAATTTATGACTTTTACTAATTTATAAAATAAAAAAAAAACGTGAAAAAGTTTTACTTTAATTATTCCTCAGCTGAGATTTCAAACCGAGCCTTTCGCATCAAAGCATCTGGCCCTAGTCCTTTTTTCTATCGCTATTTATAACAATTTAGTTTTAATGATTTCAAATAGTTTTATTTAAATGTATGCTTGATTTTCTAAAGTTAGACGAAATAAAAATATAAATGCTATTATTTATTGATTCTACAAGAAAATAGCTCATTTTTAAGTATATTTAATCTCAATAACTAAAAAATATACTGATAATTAGTTTGACAGAGTTACCACTTGTTTAAAATTTAAAAAAATAATAGTAGCAGGATGGCCAAAATTGAACTGTGATTGATGGATTTCATTTTTTTGCAGTGTTTTTACTAGGTAGATTGAATATAAAATATATTCGTTCAGTTGAACGCAATGGCATACTTTTTCGTTTTGTAGTCTGCTTAGATAAGCTAATATCCATGTGAGTGTAGAATAGTAGTCTGTGCAACAAGAGTGGATATGGCCACTCGAGTTGTACAGTATATTTTTTCTATGACCCACTAACAAAAATCTACAAATATTAAAAATTATTTTAAGTTATTAAGATAATATAATTAATTTAAAAATAATTTATGACCTTTACTAATTTATAAAATAAAAAAATACGTGTGGCACTGGGGGACTGCCGCGGTAAAGCTATTGCATAGCATTTTTTATCAACTTATGCAATTATAATTATTTATTTATTTTATTTATGCAGTATTTTGTTTTTCTTTGATATTAATTCAAGTTACATTTTTTGAGCGTGGTGACCGATAAGAAAACAATTTTTTTTCTTTTATTGAATACATGAGAAGTTAATATTGTTTAAAATATTTTTATTATCTTACAATACACGTAGGTTATTCAGGAATTTTTATTATTGAAACTATAGGTTTATGGTAAATGAAATAAGAAACATAAGTTTGAGACTTGATATCCTCTAAATATCTGGAAAATACCGCGTCAATGGTGGTCCCATATATTTTGTTGTGGATTCTTGTGGATCATTATTCATTTTCAAATTCTATTTTTCCGACATTGTGTCTAAAAGACATAGAATCAGTTATGAGCAGTTAGCAGCTAGTCTACACGCATACGTCTAGTCGCACGCACACAAACACCGTGCCGAACTGAAACGACGTTAAACGATGCACGGCTTTCAACGCCGCACCGCTGTGCCGGTCGGTGTGGGGGGGTGTTAGGTTTATTTTCGTTACGAAATTTCTTTTTTGATTTTTCGGTTTTCGATTTTTCGGTTTTTAGATTTTTCGATTTTTCGGTTTTCGATTTTTGGATTTTCTTTTATTGAATAAATATTGTTTAACGCTGCACCGCTGTGTCGGTCGGAGTGAGGGGTGTTAGGTTTTTTTTCGTTACGGTGTTACGGAATTTCTTGATTTGGTCGCCGCGCTCAAAGCCCGCGATAAAAGCTATGCAATAGCTTAATAAACAAGAAAAAAAATCATTTTATTTTTCTCCATCTGAGATTCGAACTTGAGTCTTCCGTATGGAAGGCAAGAACGCTGACCACAGGACCATCTACGCGTTTATTATTTTTTTTCTTTAATACTCCTAATTAAATTGACTTCATATAGTTTTATTTAAATTGACAAATTATTTATAATTATAGACGAAATAAAAATAGAAATTCTATTATTTATCGATTCTACACAAGAATAACTCATTTTAATGTATGTTTAATCTCAATATCTAAAAAAGATACTGACAGTTTGACAGAATTGTTACTTATTTTTAAAAATAATAGCAGTCGGTTGATCAAAATATGAACTGTGATAGGTGGATTTAATTTTTTTGCAGTGTTCTCACTACCTAGAATGGATATGAAATATATTCGTTCAGTTGAAGGCAATAGCATACTTTTTCGTTTTGTAATCTGTGCGTAGATAAGCTAATATCCATGTAGGTGTAGATAAAAAATATATTTACTTTTTTCTGTTAGTAAAAAATATTTAGTTTATTTATCCCATATATACCAAAATTAAAGTTTTCTAAAAATGTCAGAATCAAGAGGATCCGCCAGAATATACAAAACTCATGAAAAATTATTATTTTACTCTTATTAACCCTCGCTTACTTTATTTTAATTAAAAACAATGCTGTTTATAATACCAATCGAATCAAAACTTTAGTATTAGCAATAAGTGACCCTAGTAGAAACTTTTTGTAACTATTACAATAATGGAATTATTATTTTTTTTTCACTCCTCCCTAATACATATTCTATGAAGCACCTATCTGGAAATAACTAAAAAAAAAGTAGAAAAATCTGAAAATTATAAAAGGTTGATTTGACCATAAACTTTTGAGCATAAATCTTAACTTTAGTTGTAGCTCTTCTGGATTAAAAGATATCTAAAAAAAAAATAACATTGAGATTGGTGGTAACACATACGGCATTCAATCTGTAACAGAAATGAAATACTTGGGAATTTTTCTGGAACAACATCTAAGATGGGATGAACAGATTAATGACGTTATAAAATGTACAAAACGTGATCTGTATCTTTAAGTATTACACTTAAAATATTTCCTTTATAAAAACTTTATATATTATTGACTTGAGACTCATCTTAGATACCAATCTAGAGAACACAAATTTTTTCAAAAAATATTCTTAAAAATTATCATGTTAAAACCGCTTAGGTATCCATACTAATAATCTTTATAAAATATCAAAAAATTATGTGTTTAAAATATTATAGTAATAACAAAGGATCTTATCTGGACCAACATTACCATACTAGACACAAGAAGCTTCATGCCTACAATTTTTGAAAGAACCAGAGAGGTGACACGCCGAATTCATTTAGTCTAAAGATTGATCTTAAAAGTCAATTTTTGTTGTAATAATTGTTTTTTTTTTATTTTCTGTAACTTCATTAAATTTAGTGTAGATAAGAACTGCAGATAGCTTAATGCCAAAAGTGCTTTGCAATATAATTTTTCACATACAAATTTGCACATAATACATAGTTTTCCTTGCCGTCTTTCCTACCGATTTATAAAAGAACACTCCAGAAATTTACAAACAGCGCTGTTTTAGCCAGTCTCCACTCTTAGTGAATTACATTGTATATAAATATACTGAATCGTGGTTAATCCTAATTCAGTCCTACATATTTTTTTATTTTCCTTATTTAAGACGGTTCGCCCGCCTATGGCTTTACAATTCTAGTATATTAGAAGAAAAAACTCACAGTATCGTAAAATAAAATTTTACTTATTTTTCAGTAGTTTCCCAAAATAAATAGAATGCGAAAACCAAAAATCTTGTAACTTAATTTTTTTTTGCTTTATATGGCCTTTCAATCTCTGTATAAAATATTGAACTGTTGGATTGAAGTAAGCGGAAGCCATAACAATATTAACATAACAGTAACATTTCAAAGCCGTGACCGCAAAGTATAGATTTCGAAGATGTGTACGGTTTCGCGATATGGGTAATTTGAAAGTGAAATCACTTCCCACTTTTTCTGTTCCATATCGTCCAATTAATCCACTTTTCCCATCATCGACGCCTATTACACGAGAAGACCAAGAGACAACGCAAGAAGAAGAAGAAGCTGAAGAAGAAGAGACGAATCCAGTGACCCAGTTGTGTGGGTGGACGTTGTCGTTGGCTGCGCGCTCTCTTTGTTCGAGTCTCGACTCATCTCTCGAAGTAGGTTAGTGCAACCAGCGGTGGGGACCAGACTTCGGAGAGTGTCTCTCGGAGCGTTCGACTCGACGACGATCAGTCTCCATCCGTCGTTCTTCAAGTGTACACGTTGCCGATGGAACTCGCACTAGCGTATCGGTAGGCATGTGATCGGTGTCGGCGCCGTAGACTTGCCATGAGCCCCGCTTCCGCAGGCAATCTAGAAGTAGAACGATACATCGGGGCCTGTTTAATTTCGCAAAACCGCGCTAAAACTAAACCGACGCGTCAAGATCATTTTGTGTCGAACTCTAATAGGGATGTAGTGCCCGATGTTTATCACAAGCAACACGTGAATTTCCGTTTGCAGAGATGTCACTCGGTCGAAGGTTGGGCCGGAGGAGTGCCACTGATCTCCTTCGCTCAACATCAGAGAAAGAACCACAAAAACGATCAGGAAGACCCCGGCTCCTTGGCTAGATTGGCTGTGCATACCCAAGGGGCACCCTTAATTCTCACAAAAAGTTTTAACCACAGAAAGAACAAGGTAAACAGAAATAATGGTACGACGAAAGTTTTCGAAAACTCTAATAACAAGAAGAATAATAACAAGTGTCAGAATAGTGCGGACGCTGTGAGCGTTACCAGTGACGAAAGTTCGGGATCGGCGAATTCTGAGACGTGTTTGCCGCGGATCATCAAGCCGCGTAAAAGACGAAAAAAAGACAGGAAGCCTCCTCTGCTGGGAAGACCCTTAAGTCAGGATGGTTTCTCGACTGATAGCGCCAGTCCAGAAATTGACAACACACAGTCAAACTATTTATCTCTAAGTCCGTTTAATATATTTAATTTCAACCCATACGGCACTCTGATATTCCCAGATTCCGCTAAGCTTGTCGATCAGCTGCACATACTGAGCGACATTAGTGAGACTCCCAAACTCCACCATTCCTTCGAGGACATCGAAGAACTCGATGACGGTAAAGATATTAATGGCAACCAACCCACAAGCACGTGTCAGTGTCGCTATTGCGACCCGAGCGGGCAAATTTGGGACGTGGATCGCGAGTGTTATTCTCCGTTTTTAACGCCACCAACCAAATCTTTCCAATTTCCGACACTCAATCTTGAAGATATTTCTTATACATCTCCACTATCCATGAGTTGCTTGGAACACAGCTTATCTTCAATATCCCTGGAGAATGAAGGTCGTAATAAGAAAACTCCGACTTCGAGGTCGTCCAGTTCGTCGTCTTGCAGAGACCTGGAGGTGTCGACGGAAATTGTAACCTCTTTGAATGGTCATCGGGATATCGAAATCAAGTTCTTTTCGATGCCAAGTAGTAATGTTGACAGTGTCAAGTCTGGTGAGTCGAGGAAGTGTGTTCCAGATAATGAACTCAGTTTAGCGTACGAAGAATGAGTCTATGAGATAACTACTACACGTATGATTTTTAAATGTAAATTTTTTTATTAGATTGAAGTTTTTAGATATAGTGTTCTATTTCAACGATTAGATTTTTGTCAATCGTTTTAATTTATTAACTGACATTGGAATATCAAATATTTTGCTTCTTGGTGTCATTTACCTTGTATAAATTTGTAGCCCAGCGTTTAACGAAAATCTAATCATTGAAAAGTTTGTACATAACAGTTTTTTCATTCAAAAAACTGATAAAAATTCCAATCTAAGAAAATATATGATGAGATACAAATACCTAACCTAATTTTTAAGCTACGCAACTTGGTATAATTTTCAAAAAGTTTGTATTTGTTATAAACATGACAGTACAGTTTGGAGTTTAAATTAATGTCTTTTACGGTAACTTCAATTTTGGCGAAGGAATAAAATCAGTCACCTAAATTTAAACTAATTTAAGGTAATTTATTCATTTGAAAAATATTATTTTCTATTTTTGGAAAAAACATTTTCTAAAAAAGTATATGGCTACTAAGTACCTACCCTTTTTTTAATCAAAATAAAATATTGTGCTTTGACAAAAAAAAATATTGTATTCAATTTTCAATTTGGTTATATAGGTACATCATCACATTTGAGTTATTCAAAATAAGTTTTTGATTCTGATAATTTTGTCAATTTTTAATAAAAAATTTCTTATCGAGATTAGATAAATTTAAGATAATTATTATATAAATTGATGAACTCAAACGGTGCAAATTGGTTGTTTTTACTGGTATTTTTTTCGATTTATCTCAAATAGAAAAGTGCGATAATTTAGTGTTCTATCATGACATTTTATTTTATGACTAACTAAATTAACCGATTTTTATGACTCAATGAATAGAATTATCTAAGTAATAATTACAAAAAAATTTTATTCGCTCAAATGCCGATTCATGTAATAAAAAAAGTTAATAGTCATAACTCTTTAAACGGTAATTTCCTTAATTATACACTTGATATATTTTTATTTTTGGACTTTTAATGTTTTAAAGAATCAATTTTTCAAAGTGACTTTCGTAGAAAATTATATCAATAATAAAATAATAGAAATTTTTATTAAAGTTGTGTAATATAATATATTTGTTATATTTTTAAGAAAACTTTTTCCTCACCGTGAAATCCTAATTTTTATCAGAAAAAAAATAAATAACAAAAGTTAAAAGGTTTAGGTCGTTATAGTTTTTCCATTGCAGCTATCTTTTATATTCGTTTTTTATTTTTACTGACAGGTAGGAAACATTTATCATGAAAACGTAAATATTATGAGAACAAGACAATTCACTTTCGTAAAAAAAATAAAACTTAAATAATTAGCAAAACAGTCAAGGACAAGTTTATTTTTATAAAATGTTTTTATTTGTCACCTAATGTTTTTCTTAATGTTAAAAAAAACTCGTTTAGAGAATGTTTACAAATTAACTTTTTTTATTATTATGACTCTTTATTGCGGAATTTTATGAACATACTAAAAGAAAATCCAAAATTTAGTTAAAAATTTAATAACAAAATGTCATTAATATTTTTGTTGAATCAAGAATTCAAATAATTTCACTGTAAATAACGAATGGCAATGCGATTACCTCATTTGAAGTTAACGAAACATGAAATTTAACAAATTACTTCCTCTTTCAAGGTATTGCTCCAATTTAAGGCATGAAAAATATGGTCTCAATAAGTTAGACAATACCTTATAGTTGTATTTGTATATGTGACAATGACACATATTTATATTCAAATTATTGGTAAACGTTACAATATCTAAGACAGACTTTCTCAACACAGCTTAGAACTAAGAATCGACTTTTGTTCTGTAAAATATTTTTATCGAACACTGACTATAAATACGACAAACATTATTACATTTGCTTTGTCCATGATAGAAAACGGTTACTTAACAAACTATGAAACGATGTACCGGTTTGCATAAAATAATGTTTATTTTTTTTTCTATAATCATCACCTACAATTTCTATCATTTATCTCTGCAATCTCGACGATGACATTGTAAGTTACTTGACGTGACAATACGATTAAACTGTCGTTTTATTTGTAATACTTCTGACTAGGACAAACGAGACGTCTCGTTCATTTAAAAAAAATCGAAGAAGGGATTCTAACTTTTATAACCTCAAACGAGCGATGACGGGATGAATACTAAATTATTTCTGGAAGTTCTGCAAAAGTTTTCAAACTACTTTGCACTTGATTGATTTACTTCGTGTTTCTCGAGAATACAGCAAAGATTTTGCTCTCCGAGTGAACATTTAACTGTATTGAATTACTTGAATTCAGTTAATCGAATTGACAAGATTGTTTTGGATCAACGAATAAAAACTACATATTCAGTTAATCCACAAGAAAGCAAGCCAAGTATATATACAGTTCCAAACCAGCTTTGAGTCAACTCGATTAAAGCTCAGGGTCTTGAGAGCTGCGTGGCTATCCGAAAAGATATTTATTATAGTCTTGTTAGCGGGCCTAATGAATCAACTCGTTTGTGGTTGGAAGATCGTGGTCAGAGGGCTCAGGTTTATTGATATATCAACTCTTGGCTTCTGGCCGAAAACTCCTTCTCCTGCCTGGAAAAAGGGTTTATTCCTTCCGCTTCATCCGTCTCTGTTTCTGGAATGAAGACGCTGCAATACTTGTCTGCATGCTGTCGAGGAACTAGCGAATCTTAAAACGAGAATGTGGTGGTTAATTCATTCATCGGCAACGTTTTGTTCCATTTCATTGAGTATCTTACTTACAGGAGACCTGTAATGGACCATCCTGGCCTCCCTTTCCAGCAAAATTAGAGACGGGTTAGATCCAGCATGGTGTGGTTGATATTTCCCTATTGATGGCGAGGTACGCAAGCCGATATAGTATCGAGTCAGTTTTGCTCTGAAGTCCCGTTTCCCACCAGAGAACTTAAAAGTATATTTAAAAATATGTTTTTTTTTTATAAAAATTGAGACAGAACAATAATACAACAAACATTAAAAAAGTGTTCAATAAATAATTTATGATTTTCTCCATTACACAATTTCACAATTACAACATAAATGTGTTCCTTTCCTATTTCTAAAAGATAAAGCAGATATATTAAAAGCGTGATACTAACGACGATTAATAATAATTACCGAGACACAATTGTACACTTTTAGACTTTCAGCACAATACAATTTGTCATAAACACTTGTTAGCATCAATGACAACGACATAAAAGGTGTGTTTGTCCCATCAGACGTATTGTTTTCATTGTTTACCTTGCAGGTATATTCACTGCGATTATTTTAATAAGCTTGTTTTTAAATTGTTATTGTATTTTTTTTACTGCTTGGAAATAATATTTGTAATTTATATCGAAATTAAATGTTGTTTAAATTGATAAACAAAAACAAGCAAGTCACGGTTTTCATCTAGTTGTGATCGCGAAAAATGCAAAAAAATACAACCTGTTTTATGTTTAATTTTAAACAAGACCACATTCATTTTATTACGTTATTAAGAGTAACCTTGACTTTGACTTTAGTAAAATACAAATGAACTAACATGAACTTAGTTTTTTCGTGATACTTTAATATACACACGATTTTTATTTCATTATTATAAAGAAAATATAGCAAATTATAAGGACATACATGTTTATATTATTGACAATGTACGATTCGTAAACTAATGACATTCAAATTAAATTTTATTATTCGGATTTTTGACTGTATTTACTAATACATAAATTTTCTGGATATATAAACCAAGACGTAATTGACAAATCAATAATACCGAATTCAAAGTATGACTTTGCAACATGTTACCTTTTGCTAATTTTCTGATAAACAATTAGTAGACTATTTAAATTAATATATACACGATTTTGATTTCATTATTATAGAGAAAATATAGCAAATCATGCATTGCTCAAAATTATCTGGACATACATGTTTACATTATTGACAATGTACGATTCGTAAACTAATGACATTCAAATAAAATTTTATTATTCGGGTTTTTGACTGTATTTACTGATACATAAATTTTCTGGATACATAAACCAAGTCGTAATTGACAAACCATCAATACCTAATTCAAAATATAACTTTGGAACAAGTTATCTTTTGCCAATGTTCTGATAAACAATTAGTAGACTATATAAATTAATATACACACGATTTTGATTTCATTATTATAGAAAAAAATATAGCAAATCATGAATTACTCAAAATTATCTGGACATACATGTTTACATTATTGACAATGTACGATTCATAAACTAATGACATTCAAATTAAATTTTATTATTCGGGTTTTTGACTTTATTTACTGATACATAAATTTTCTGGATATATAAACCAAGACGTAATTGACAAATCAATAATACCGAATTCAAAATATGACTTTACAACATGTTACCTTTTGCTTATTTTCTGATAAACAATTAGTAGACTATATAAATTAATATACACACGATTTTGATATCATTATTATAGAGAAAATATAGCAAATCATGCATTGCTCAAAATTATCTGGACATACATGTTTACATTATTGACAATGTACGATTCGTAAACTAATGACATTCAAATTAAATTTTATTATTCGGGCTTTTGACTGTATTTACTGATACATAAATTTTGTGGATATATAAACCAAGACTTAATTGACAAATCATCAATACCTTATTCAAAATATGACTTTGGAACAAGTTACCTTTTGCTAATGTTCTGATAAACAATTAGTAGACTATATAAATTAATATATACACGATTTTGATTTCATTATTATAGAGAAAATATAGCGAATCATGAATTGATAAAAATTATCTGGACATACATGTTTACATTATTGACAATGTATGATTCATAAACTAATGACATTCAAATTAAATTTTATTATTCGGGTTTTTGACTGTATTTACTGATACATAAATTTTGTGGATATATAAACCAAGACTTAATTGACAAATCATCAATACCTAATTCAAAATATGACTTTAGAACAAGTTACCTTTTGCTAATGTTCTGATAAATAAACAATTAGTAGACTATATAAATTAAGTAAAGTACTTTTATTATTTTTTGACAGAAAGGACCTACGAAAATGACTGCTTAATTGACATACAGATTTTGCGACATGGTTGAGAAATACTTTATGAATCAAACGAATAAAAAAATCTTTATAATATACAAATAATACTTTCGATGTATGACTTTATAATAACTGTAAAAAACTATTTGACTTTTACATAATATTTAACTTGACAGATGACAAACTGGTTTAAATTGAATAAAAAACATTATGAAAAGAAGTACAGTAATTTTACTATCTCCAAATGTGATGCATTTGGTTCAGAAATACATATAAATTAAACACATTATACTATGTTGATCAAAACCATGTTTACCTACACTAAATAGACTATATAAATAGATTATATAAAAAAATAGTGATGTAAACAACAAACTTAAACTCATAACGACGAATTCGTATGTAAAATTTTGGTGTGACAAATTGCGGACAATTTAACCCAATGATTACATATTATTACTATCTTATTAAAGTGACAATTTAGACACGAGTGAAAGTAGTTTGAAACCTTTTTACCTTCAGAGTCTAACACACTAACAAACTATAAACATATATGATGTTGACAGCATATTACAGAAACATACAATGATAAAATGATTGTTAACTGTTGACACACATGCCATAATGTGAGTGAAGTCGTTTACTAAATATAGAAAATCATTGAATTCTTAACACTAAACATTTTCTCTGGGCGACTATTTAGTTGGAAAATTTTTATTTAGGAATTCGATATAGGTATCATTAAACAAACTAAATAGGTTCCATAATACTTAATGTTGACAATGCATGCAAAAATTTAAATTTAGCTACTTAATTTATGATTGACCACACTATTGTATTCAAAAACTTTATATAAGCAGAGATAATCTTAAATTATACAAAATACGAATATAATTAATATAAAAATAACATAATTTGATATAGTAATAATTACTGGCAATAAAAATGACGCCAATGTGCGAAGTTGTTTACATGGAATATTGCTGTCAGTGTCATGAGATGAACATTGATCTTGT